GTGTCTTGTGACGAAGACGCCACCGGAGATAGCGCTGCTTCCATTAGCGCCACATGGAGTCTCGCTGCCCGATTCTTCCTGGTTTGTTTGGAGAACTTGGAACAGTGGGAGCAAGAATCAACACGGTGCGATTCCCCGAGGCACAGGAAACAAAGAGAGTGTCCGTCAGAGGGGGCAATTTTTCTGCCACAAGTCCAGCACCATTTAAAGAAACCCCACCTTGCGGCCATAGGCCAGAGGGAGGGGGAGGGAGTGTCTCCGCGGAGGGGAAGATAGTCCAAACTGAAAAACTAATGAAATTACTTTCCTTAACTAACTAATTGAGGTAAGAAGAGAAAGAAGGCCTAAAGCCAACAAACTTTACCGACCGAGGCGTAGAGGTCCTACCAGTGCGGCGATCAGAAGAGAACTGGCGGGATCCTCGTGTCTTCCCCCTAGTCATGCGCAGTGGAGCCCGGCACATGACTGGGGAGCGGGTGCGAAAAATCCCTTTTGCTTTCCAAAATACCGATTGGGGTCGACGCAGGCGCACTATAACCCCAGAGGTGTGATGCACAGAGACCACGAAGATCAGAGAGATCCCTGTATATTCATCATGGCTTTAATTCAGCATGCAATTACACACATTTAGATCCCATTGTCCAGAATGAGATTTTTAAGTATGCATTAACAATATGGGCTACATTTAAGTCCACATCTATAACATTTCTTACAAATTTACTTACTTACCCATGTCTGACTATCATCATTTCATAGGTCTGTATCATCTTTTCTAGAAACACTTTAACAGGCTGGACATTATGGGTTTTACAGCATTCATTTGCACATTCTAGAAAATCCTGAAATATAATTATAAAAGTGAAAATATGATTAATATTTTACAATGATTTTATTCTTTAATTATGAAGCTACTAAAACCTCTCTCTCTCACACACACACACACAAAATGATGTTTCATTAAAATATTAACTTTCAGCATGCATTAGTTTTTCTTAAAATACAAATGGTATACTTCAGTCATTTGGGTTATCCTGCTGGCATAATGGTACTTCTACTGGTGAAGGAGGGGAGCAATTTTGCTTATTCATCTTTCCACTGCAGACCCCTAAACCCTAATGCAGCATTTGGGGACTTGTTGGACTGCACCATTGTCCCTTATTACTAATATGCTTAATGATGATAATCTGAATTCAATGAATTAGTGAAACAGCAGAACAGTACATGTTACATATGATCTATACACTGAATGACTGTATAAAGTCTTTTTAGTGGGCACTAAAACTGGGTCAAAATTTTGTAACAGAGATTCTGATGGACATATAGCTAGACTTTGAAATGAAGTTCACTGACATACAAAAACAAAACCATGATATCATTATGCAATTAGAAACAACCAGCTGCTCTAACTAAAACTGGAAAATATTGAATTACTGTAGAACAGTTCAAATGTACTCACTTTGTAGTCAGCTTCAGGGAGTTTAATACCAGGGAATAAATCACTTGTAATGCCCATAAAGAGAGGTATGTCATGTGACAAAAATTTGGGCTCATTTACATCCTTGATTGATCTGAGAAGCTGAACAAAACAACAAAATGGCAGAAGAATTACACAGAAAGAAAATTCCAGTCGATATTACAAATATGACTTTAATGAGCGACTAAAAACAAGTCTGCATAATACAGAGTATGTGTTGCTAGCATGTTTTCGAATTTTAATTTGTACACGTGAAGCTGCCTTATACTGAATCAGACCACTAGTCTATCCAGGTCTATATTGTCTATTCTGAGTAGCAGCAGCTCTTCAGGATCAGGCAGAGGGAATTCATATCACCTATTACCAGATACCTGAACTGAACCTGGGATCTTCTGCATCCAAAGCAGATGCTCTACCTCTGAGCCACAGTTCTACCCCAATTAATCCAACTGCTCTGTCAGAGAATGATTCTAAAACTTGCACAGAATTCAGCTTGCAGGAAGGAGAGGTGTTCAAAGACCTTCCAATCCCTATCATGGCATTCTGTAAATAAGTCAGGGAGGTCCTTTTAGGAATTAATGTGTTATTGTGATTAGGCTGCTGGACGACCTGGGTTTAGATCTCCACTCTGCCATGACGTTTGCTGGGTGACCTTGCTGTAACTTGCTCAGCCTGACTTACCTGGGAAAGGTGTTGCAACAATAAAATGCGAAAAGGAGGACCATGTATGCTGCTCTGAGTTCCTTGGAGGAAGGATAAGATTTAAATGTACTAGACAGAGAGACAGATCTAGGATACTTGTAGATAGAGGAGTTTGTCACTGTCAATGCTGAATCAGTGTGCCCGACACCTCCAATCTGTATGGAGACTGGGATGATTCCCATACTGATCACTTCTTGCCCATACAGACTAGGAGAACATCACAGGTGCCACTGCAATAATTATTTAAATGCCAGAGGTCACCTCCTTCCATAACAACCTTTTCTTCCCCAGTTTATCTTCAAGTTATTGCTTTCAGGTGGGTAGGCATGTTTGTCTGGAGCAGCAGAAGTTACTGCTTTGTTTATGCTTCTGATCCATCCACAACTCTTCAATTTAGTTTTAGTACATCTACCTAATTAGATGACTACTTCAGGCATCTGATGAAATGGATTTGATCCATGGTAGCTTATGCTGACCTAGCTGAGCTCTGAGAAGCAGCAGGAGACAGAGCTGCTAGGGGGTGAGTGTTTATTTGCTTTCAGCTGAGGTGATTTAGCTAAGGGTACTGTATGGGAGGATAGTGTTTGGGAGTGTGTGCGTGAATTTTAAGTTGTTGCAGAGTCCTGGCTGCTTGTGAAGGGGTGAGAAAGGGTGATTGTTTGACTGTAATTGGATTGCCTGGATGTAATTTGAATAGCTGCTGGCCCTGTCCTCTGCTGGGTGAGGCTTCTGTTTACAGCTGCACCTCGCCAGAGGCACAAGCTTAGCCTAGGGATTCTTAGACCAGGGGCTCTGTAAAAAGCCCAGGAAGGACCAGAAAGCCAGGGCCCTAGTCTCCTTGTGTTCCCAGTAACATAAGTAGAATTCTACAAGGAGAACCAAATAAATATGAAGCGTTTTAAAAGGGGGATTATATTTAATTATTTTTAAAGCAATTATGAAGGTAGAATGCCAGCAGGGGGTTGGGGGCAATCCAGTGTTTTGCACGGAGTGTCACGTGTATGACTATCTGTCCACTGGACAGAAATCTTGGGTGTGTGCACGGTGCAAGGAGCTCCTGGTTCTCAGGGAACGCGTTTGCACCCTTGAGGCCAACGTGGCTGACCTGGAGAAGCAGAAACAGTCAGTTAGGTGCATGGAGAAGACTCTTGAGGACCTGTTACATATGTCCCACTCTGAAAATGGCAGCCCCGCCGCTGTCAGGGAGTATGAGGGTTGAGAAGAAACAGGGCACCATACTGAGGATAAGGAGAATGTGCCCTCAGAAGGGACCTCTTCTTCAGCTGGTGAATGGGGTATCCTTTCACACCAAGTAACCATCTCTGGGCAGGGGGGGCGCTCTTGGTAGTTGGTGATTTGATCCTTGGGCAGGTACACTGCTGGGTGGCAAACCCACATACTGACCATATGGTGACTTGCCTGCCTGGTGCGAAAGTAACCGACATTATGTGTGTTCTGGATAGGCTGGTAGACAGTGCTGGGGCGGAGCCAGTGGATGTGGTACATGTTGGCACCAATGATGTGGGGAAATGGAGTTGTGAGGTCCTGGAGGAAAAATTTAGGCTGCTAGGCAGGAGACTCAAGGCCAGGACTTCCAAGGTAGCCTTCTCAGAAGTGCTACCTGTTTCACATGCAGGGCCAGAGAGACAGGCACAGATTAGAAGTCTCAATGCATGGATGAGACGATGGTGTAGGGAGGAAGGGTTCAAGTTTGTTAGGCACTGGGATGCTTTTTGGAACAAGAGGGAGCTGTACAAAAGAGATAGTCTCCACTTGTCCCAAGAAGGAACCAGGCTGCTGGCGCTTAAAATCAAAAAGGTGGCAGAGCAGTTTTTATACTGAATATTGGGGGAAAGCCGACAGGAGATGAAAAGTCTCTGGTTCGGGATGACTCATCTCAAAGAGATGAAGGGGTAGCTGTTAATTTTCTACAAGGAAATGCATTAGAATTGTCCACTGAGACTGTGGCTAACGATATGGACTGCCTGGCAAGGTCTCAAGACAGCAAGAGGAAGATTGCGGGCTCAACATGCTTGGGAAATTATAGATATTTATATACAAATGCTAGAAGAGTCCGAAGTAAAATCGGGGAGTTGGAATACTTGGTGGTAGGGGAAAAACAGACATTGTGGGTATTTAAGAAACTTGGTAGGATGAGAAAAATCAGTGGGATACGGTGATTCCTGGTTATAAATTACATCAGAAGGATGGGGGGGAAGGGTTGGAGGTGGGGCAGCTCTGTATGTCAGAACGGGTATACAGTCCAGTAAGACTGAGAAGGTAAGAGAATTGGATTCGCTTTTGGAAATGCTATGGCTTGAACTAGTGGGTCCAAAAGGAAGCTTAATATTAGGAGTTTGTTATTGCCCACCAGATCAAAAGATAGTGGAGGATTATAAAATGATGAATGAATTAAAGATAGCGGCTAGACAAAATAATTAGAACATAAGAGGAGACACACACACTACACTTGATCTTAGCCAAAAGGCCGAGAAGCCAATGTTGGATCAGGCCAATGGCCCATCTAGTCCAACACTCTGTCACATATGTGATTTAACTACCCACACATTGATTGGGTCAATATGTGTTCTAGTCGAGAAAAAGAGATTGAGTTTCTAGACACTCTAAATGACTGTGCTATGGAGCAGATGGTCATGGAACCTACCAGGGGAGAGGCGATCCTTGATTTGGTCCTAAGTAACACTCAAGACCTGGTGAGAGATGTAAAAGTGATTGCACCACTTGGAAACAGTGATCATAATGTTGTTGAGTTCAACATTTGTACAAATAGAGAATTGGCCAAAAAGACTCACACAACCACTTTTAACTTTAAAAGGGGTAACTTCTCTGAAATGAGGGGACATGTGAGGAGGAAAAGGAAAGGAAAAGTAGGAAGGGTCAAAACCATTGGGGAAGCTTGGAAACTGTTTAAAACTACAATTCTAGAAGCTCAAATAAAATATATTCCGCAGGTTAGGAAAGGCACAAACAGGTATAAGAAAAAGCCTACATGGTTAACAAACAAAGTAATGGAAGCTGTAAAAGGTAAAAAGGATTCCTTTAAGCGGTGGAAAGCTAGTCACAGTGAGGCTGATAAAACAGAACACAGGCTATGGCAAATAAAATGCAAGTCTGTGGTCAGGCATGCAAAAAGGGAATATGAGGAGCATATAGCAAAAAACGTAAAAACCAACAATAAAACTTTCTTCAAATACATTAGAAACAGGAAACCAGCCAGGGAGGCAGTGGGGCCCTTGGATGACCAAGGGGTAAAAGGAGTACTGAAGGATGATAGGGAAATGGCTGAGAAGCTAAATGCATTTTTTGCCTCCGTCTTCACTGTGGAAGATGAGAGGTGCTTGCCCACTCCAGAGCCGCTGAGTTCGGGAGGGGTGTTGAAAGACCTGAGTCAGATTGAGGTGACGAGAGAGGAGGTCCTAAAACTGATAGACAACTTAAAAACTGATAAATCACCAGGCCCAGATGGCATACATTGATCCAGGCTGGCAGGGAATGGACCTATCGAGCAGAGGTCCCCCCCCCTCCAGGGGGACCTGGCAACCCTAATCACCAGGCCCGGATGGCATACACCCAAGAGTTCTGAAAGAAAAAGGATATTATAGCACTGGATAAAGTGCAAAAAAGGGCCACTAAAATGCTAAAAGGGCTGGAACACTTTCCCTATGAAGAAAGGTTAAAGCGCTTGGGGCTCTTTAGCTTGGAGAAATGACGAATGAGAGGTGACATGATCGAGGTTTACAAGATTATGCATGGAATAGAGCAGGTCAAGAAAGAAGTTCTTTTCTCCCTTTCTCACAATACAAGAACTCGTGGGCACTCAATGAACCTGCTGAGCAGTCAGGTTAGAATGGATAAAAGGAAGTACTTCTTCACCCAAAGAGTGATTAACACATAGAATTCACTGCCAAAGGAGGTGGTGGTGGCAGCTACAAGCATGGATGGCTTCAAGAGGGAATTAGATAAACATATGGAGCAGAGGTCCATCAGTGGCTATTAGCCACAAGGTATGGATAGGAACTCTGGGGCAAGTGTATTCTTGGTGCTGAGGGGGGGGGACAGTGGGAGGGCTTCTAGTGTCCTGGCCCCACTGCTGGACCTCCTAATGGCATCTGGTATTTTTGGCCACTGTGTGACAGAGTGTTGGACTGGATGGGCCATTGGCCTGATCCAACATTGGCTCCTCTTATATTTATCTTCAAGATGCCACAAGATTCTTTATTGTTTCCCTAGTGGTGTTTTTGTTTATAATTCAACATGAAAATGATTAATTTCAAAGGGCCAGCTTTGTCTACCTTTGCAACTGGTTCTTGTCTTCCATTCATTTGCATGAAGTAGAGGAGAGCCATGACTCAGGCACCATAAGAAACAAAAGAGTCATGCTGTAGGCTTCATTTAGACATCACTATAAGCTGTGATTCAACTAAAACCAGGCATGAACATGGCTTGTTGTCATAGACAACATTCTTCCTTCCATCCTCCAACTCTATTTTTATGTGAAGATCCATTCCTTAGTCATGTTCCAGTTTACCATGACATCTGAATGCAAATGCCTCAGAAAAGTAGAGTGGTGTTTACTAAACAAATTCCAGTTTTCTGAAGCTTCATCAAGACATCACAATAAATTAGCTCAAACTAGGGACTTGTGAAGGAAAAGAAAGGGGGGAAAGGGCATGCATGAATCAGGAACCAAGCTGTGCTCATGCTTGATGTCAAGTATAATTGCACCTTGCTGTAATGCCTGAATTCAGCCTAGATTTTACCTATCATTTAGAAGTACATTTCTCCCTGCTTATCTACAGGTAGGATAAAAAAAATTAAACAATGATACTGGGAAATTCCTTGAAAAGATTTGGGAGCACAAAAAATGGTAATAACTGAGATTAGGAACCTTCACTCAATCAGCAGTAACTATATACCATTTGCTTTCATACTGTCCTTTTCTGCTAATAGCCTGATCCTATGCAACTGCACTGAAGCAATTACTTGCATGATATTGCATACCACTGTTTCAGACTGACCCTGACAACCGGCTTAAGCACTGGCAGAGGCCGTCAAACTACTGGCTGCATAACCAAACTGGCTATAGCAAGGTCATCTGAAAGATATTTAAACAGCCAAGAGGCATTATATTTTACCGTGTTTGCAAGTTTATTTGGACATATATTCCTATGACTTAGTTACTTTTTAACTTTCTGACAGGGATCCAAAAAGAACTCTAGCAGTTGCAGAAATTTTGTATTCCTTTTGTCTATTGGGTGATAAGTGATTAACAACAACTATCCACTGCTCAAGATCAATGTATCATAGAGCTTTTATTGGATAAAAGGAAAACAGCCAAGATCTAGTTGAAAACTTGAGTGCTTGTCTTTAAAAATCAAACAAAAGTCCAGTGCCACCTTAAAGACTAACAGCATTTATTTCAGTGGGAGTTTTTATAAATCAAAGCTCACTTCCTCAGAGGGCTTCTTTTAAAACCTACATGGCTTGGGACTAGGATATCTGAAGTACTATCTTCTCTCATATGTTCCAGCGGAGGAGGGAGAGGCCCTCTTGACTGTGCCACCGACCAAAGAAGCTTCTCTGGTGAGTACACAAGACAGCACCTTTTCAGTGGTAGCCCCCATGGTTATGGAACACCTGGCTCCCTCACTCTCAGTCTTTGGGAAGGAGTTGAAGACAGCATTTGGTTAGTTTTTCTGCTTACTAGCAGTTTTAAACTATTGATTTTAACTAGTGATTTTATGTATTGTATTATTTTATTATTAGTTAAATTCTAAGCCACCTTGAATTTCTGTAAGGTAGAAAGGCAGCTAGTAAATGTTTTAAATAAATTACAGAGTAAAGTGAGGTGTGACTTATGAAAGCTCATATTGAAACAAATGTTAGTTTTAATGTGTCACTGAACTTTTGCTTTATTTTGCTGTAACTAATTCGGCTACTCCTATGCAACGCCATTAAAATTCACCAATGTGGAACTTACCAATATATCCTCATTCTCTACTGGGTATTTCAGTTTGAGGTTGCCAGCAGCTATTAGTACAGCTTTGACTGCACGCATACCATAGTCATAATGGAACTGAGATGAGAGTTGTTCTGAGCACAATCTGTATGTCATTACTATTTTCACTGATAATGGCTTAGCATTCAGAAACCCATAAGAGTACAGAGAAATTTCAGCAATGAGGGCATAGTTAGGAACCATCATGGCCACTGTTCGGAAAAGGACCTGAAACACATATCAAAAAGCATTGTATTATAATTTTGCAATAACAACAGGCAATAACAGCAGGCAGTAACAACAGGCAATGGTCTTTTATTGAGCATTCCCCAGAACTCTGATCAGTACTAAAACTACCAAAAAATTAACTATTCCTCCCACGATCGCCTTCCTTATCTGTAATTCAAAAATGCAGATGTAAGTTCTGCCTTCTCTGACCCATCCTATCTTTGAGAAGTTGCTTAGTCAGAACATTCCATTTCCAGCGAACAAAACAAAACAATCCCCCTAAAAACACAAGAGAGACAAAGGCCTCAACTGTTTTGCTGCAAATAGTCTCATCATGTGGACTTCTTCGTCTACTGGATACACTTAACCTCAAATCCAGACACAAATCACAGGTAGAACATAGCAGCCCCACACATGTACATGAAAGAGTTACCTTTGAGATCAACATTTGCAGAGAGTAATTTAACCCTTCTCCCCACAGTCATGCAAAACTAACAATTCGTGAGAGGCATTTGATATGTCAGGCCACTCCCCCCACCCACCCCCAGTACAAATGGTGGACACTTATTGCTGGAGAGATAAGAAAATATTTCCATTCTGTTGCCTGAGCCATTTGGTTCCTTAAGGCTTAAAAGAGTGCTGAAGTTCATGAAGAAAAAGGAGTTAAGATTTATGCAAATATCACAAACATGTCTGTATTACACCATTGGGAGAAACTAGGGAAGCTGGTCAAAAAATGTCACCATGTACTAACAATAGATTCCCATATGATGCATACAGAGATTTTGAAATTATTTTAAGAGATATGCCTTACTGAGATATGGAATTACTGTCAGTCAATACGTTAATTCTGGAATATTACCTTCAGATTGTCAGGAAGTTCTGAGCGACCTGCATATCCTGGATTCATGGTAATAGCAACAAAACAGTTGGGATTAAGTTTTAGTTCTGTCCCTTCAAAATTAAATATCTCCAGCTTCAGCTGTATAGCCCTCTGGATGCAAAGAATCTGTTGCGCTACCACAGACAGCACTTCCAGCTCAATACGATTGAATTCATCAAAGCAGGCCCAAGCACCAGAAGATGCCAGACCCTTGAAAAACTAAAGAATAAAATAAAAATGGTAAGCTGATCAAAGGAAGTATTCTGATGCCTTGGAAACATATATTGATATAACTTCTATACTTAGAACACAATTAAATCTGTTTGTGAGAAAATCAAATTGGGTACTTCAGGCAAGTAAGGTGGCTATATTAGAGGAAGCATACAATTGGATGTGTCCATATGTGAGTCTTCCAAATCTTACTCTGTGCTTAGGCAGTTATTTACTGATACCATGGCACTCGCCCTGATCCAGCACTGGTAGCTTCATACATTACTGTGAAGGAGGTGGGCGGGGAGAACCTGTACACTCTTTTTTCCATACATTTAGTGTAATTCCTGTGAGCACCTATTGAATAGTCTGCAAGACACTTGCCTGTGGAAAGATCAGGATTTAAACTAATACAATTATATTTTTAAGGGCAAATACTAGATGAGTTGCCAGTGATTTGACATTGTTCGTTTCTGTACTCAGTGTACTTGTATGAAACCAGGAACCATAGTGGAATACAAAAAATGACAATGTATAGCCTGAGCAATGAGGCGATATAAAGCTTCCTTCAGTTCTCAGAAAAAACAGGAGCTGCGGTGGCTCAAGTGGTTAAGACGCTGAACTGCAGGCTGTGGAAGGTCAGTAGTTCAGCAGTTCAAGACCCGGGTGCTGCAAGACGGGGTGAGCCCCCGTCTCTAGTTCCAGCTCCTGCCACCCTAGCAGTTCGAAAGCAAGAAATTGCAAGTAGATAAATAGGTACCACTTCGGTGGGAAGGTAACAGCGTTCCGTGCACCTTGGTGTTTAGTCATGCCGGCCACATGACCACGGAAACGTCTTCGGACAGCGCTGGCTCTTCGGCTTTGAAACGGAGATGAGCACCGCAACCCTAGAGTTGGATTCGACTGGCTTTCGAGCAAGGGAACCTTTACCTTTTTATAGCCTGAGCAATGAGGCGATATAAAGCTTCCTTCAGTTCTCAGAAAATAGCTATTGCCTTTGCTACAACCTAAAATGAGCACATGAGCAGGACCATAGCCACTCCATTTCATCAACAGAGAATTTGCTGCAAGTGCTTTGTCTGACATTTAAGTGAATGGCATGGTTACCGTTCTCAAATAGGTTTCTGTAAGCATCAGAGTTTCATAGAAGTTTGGGATACAGTGCTGAATTTTCTTTTCCTAGCCTATTTCTCCTGAAGAGAATTTTTTCTCCTCTTATAATTTGGAATAACACATGGCATTATATCATCAGTCTTATCCATTACAATGGCTGGACTGAAATACTTCAAAACATTTTAACACCACCATCTACCATGGTTTAGGATGGATACTCTTAGTATACTACCAAGTGATCGCTGATATTCTTATCTGCTTCTTAAATAAAATAAATATCTTACAGGAAGATACATTTCTAGTCCTACAGTTCCTGCTGTGCCTGATATTATTTGTACAAAAGGACATCCTTAATTTACTGGAGCCAAACATATTATAATTAACATAGCTGACATCTATCTTTTTAGCAGAAGTGACACATCAGTTGAAGCTGGATTAGATTAGCAATTTAAAACAGAGTTATACCTTTCTAAATCCACTGACTTCAGTGATCTTAAGAAGAAGAGAAGAGACTGGATTTATACCCCGCCCTTCACTTAGAGTCTCAGAGCGGCTTACAAACTCCTTTCCCTTCCCCTCCCCACAACAGACACCTTGTGAGGTAGGTGGGGTTGAGAGAGCTCTTTCAAGAACTGCTCTTTCAAGAACAGCTCTGACAGAACTATGGCTTGCCCAAGGTTTAGGATGTAACTATTTAGGATTGCACTGTTACTCCTTCAGAAACTACACTGTATGCTCTATGCTCTGCATGCAATCCTATTCACATCACTGAGACTACTGATAACCTGTGAAGTGAAGTGTATAGCTTTGTGTATAGTTTGACTGTTTAACAAATGTATCAGCCTATTTTATTATGGTCAAGCTGTGGATATTACTAGAAATGAAAAATAGTATAAGCATTTTGAACTAGGAAAACACACTTATCTTATAATTTGGGACACTTTACCTTCCCCATGGCTAGGTAATCAAGGCCGTCAGAACAGTTGAAGACAACACACTGCACAGCAAGAGCTTTAGCCAAGTCTTTGGTGGTCTCAGTTTTACCTGTGCCTGCTGGGCCCTCTGGAGCTCCACCAAGATTTAAATAAAACGCTCCAATCTAAGAAGAAAAGTAGTTCAAAATATTTTTAAACATAAATGCAGCCACAGTGTTTAGGTATAAAAAAACTACATTCAGTAAATGGCACAGATAAAGTATTGTACAAATGTCCACTCTTGTATTATTACACACTAGGAGTAATGCCCGTTGTGGGAAGAAATACAACAAGATCTAGAAGGAAGCTCCACATGAGTGCCTCGACTGTGGCTGGTGGGGCGGCAGAGGGAAGCGGAAAATGGAGGGAGGCAAGCCATGTTTCTTTCCTTCTGCTTAGCTATAAGGCAGGGCTGTCTCAAGTCATTTTGCTGCCCCAAGTGGGTAGAATGGGAGGACAGCCTCATGGTAACAGATATGGTTCTCTCCACCTCTGACTTATTTTTTGAGGGGGAGGGGGATGTTATGCAATGGCAGCTAAGGTAGAAAAGCACCTCCTCCTGTGACATGTTTTCTGGGTTCCAAGGGTCTGGAAAGTAGTTCCATAGCCGATTACACAGCTGCCAACTCTGGGTTGGGAAATACCTGTAGATTTGAGGAGTAGCGCCTGGGGAGGGCAGGATTTGGGGTGGGGAGGGACCTCAGTAGGGTATAATGCCATAGAATCCACTGCCCAAAGCAGCCATTGTCTCCAGGAGAACTGGTCTTGGTCATCTAGACATCAATTTTAATAGCTGGAGATCTCCAGGTGCCGCCTGGAGGTTGGCTTATGTTAATTTGGGGCGATGCAGTCACAGCTAAGGTAGAAAAGCACCTCCTC